AAGCAAGGGGAATTGTCCTTTCTTTGCTTCTTCTAATTTAGCATAAAATCCATATTGTTTCATGGAATTGTCAGCTTTCAAGTAACAAATGATAGAAGTAATTAAAAGGCAAATCCTTCTCAAGAAAGCACATGCAAGTTGCTTTTATAAGCATAGAAGCAATCCGGCCAGTCATTACTGAGACTTCACTTATCATAGAATTTTATCCCGATTCAGAAAGCTCGTGTCCCAAGTTATAGAAGTCTTTCTGGTTCTTTCCATCTTTTGTGTATCAACCTTTGTTTTTTTATCTTTTGGGGGTAGGAAGAGAGTATTCTTTTCTCACCATTTTACAGAAAAGATACAGAATAACAGATCATGTCAAGAAAGGATTTTTCTTTTGTTTCAAGTATAAAGAATAATACAGGATTCAATAAAGTGGAAATATTTAAAGAATGTAGGTTCCACACACGACTAAATTATATAACCATTTGGATGTTCCACACCAGGTTTCATAATGACATGCTATATCCATCTGACTAAGCTACCGAAAAGTGAATTTTGAGGGCTCATCCAGTGCCAGATAATTAGGTGTCATTGTTTTCCACTGACAGTGGGTTTTGGCATTAAGCAGTGTTAACTGAGGCTTAATCTTTCTTAACTGAGGCTTAGTCAGAGTTCGAAGCTTTCTCCCCGTAAGAAGTATTGCTATGCACTTCTAGTAGGAAATAGGAATTACATTTTCATGTTAGTCTGTCTATTTTTGTTTTATAATGCTGACCTTTATTTTTTTTATAATGAAATTATAGGAAGCAGACTTAATCTCTGGCATCAGAAATATTGCTTTGCGGTAGAAATACGTGTTTTATCCACTGGAATTTATTATTTTTATTCTGTTTTCTAATTTGGACACAATTATATTTAAGAAACATGCTGCATCGTTTTTTTAATTACCAATCCATGTTTTAACAAACATACTATATAACAGATCGTCTCTATGCAAATTTATGTCAAGCAGTAAAGATGAGTTTAAAGGGCACTGGGAAAGCCCTCTTATTCCCCAAAACGTTTTTTCTCTAATAACTAAATTAGGCCTAAGTTTTCAAAGCTAGAGCTTCATTCTTTTGATTCAGTTTCCTCAAGGATGGACTGATGCTTGATGCCTTTTAGTCATTTATGCATTAAAATGAATGACTGCTATATGAAATCATTTCCTATAAGAGGTCTCCCTAGAGAAGAAGGTGTGGCAATCAAAGGAGGTGAAAAGGAGAGGGAAGAAGGGGAGACATTAAGGAAAGAAAGGAAACAAAGTGATAAAGTAAAAGAGGAGGAGTGCCCAAGACAAATGGAGTAATTCACGCTCTTGAATAAGTCCAGTTAATATACTACCATACTCATTTAAATACAATGGTGTATGTTCACTTGAAATTCTGATTATGGGTACCAAGGATCATTTTCTCATTTAAAAGCAAGAGAATGAATACAATTATTAGCATTGTTTGTGGACCAAGGCAAAAACAATTAGGTAGAAACAAACAAACAAAAAATCTATTAGCTGGTTTTATACATCTCTGGTCTGAGAACCCATTTTGAAGCATAATTATCAGAAAGTTTTTTAGAGGGTGGGTTCCAGGGTTCTTGTTTTCTTTAATAGAAATGAAAAATATTCTTGAATGAAATTCAAAAGGCTATAAAAGTTTATATATGCCCTGACAGGTTTGGGTCAGTGGATAGAGCATCGGCCTGTGGACTGAAGGGTCCCAGGTTCGATTCCAGTCAAGGGCATGTACCTTGGTTGCAGGCACATCCCCAGTGGAGGTTGTGCAGGAGGCAGCTGATAGATGTTTCTCTCTCATCAATGTTTCTAGTTCTCTATCCCTCTCCCTTCCTCTCTGTAAAAAAATCAATAAAATAAATTTTAAAAAATAAGCTAACACTTTTTTTTTTAAAGTTTATGATTAAAATGGGATTTTCATTTTGGTGAAAATAGAATTAAAGAATCATTTCATTTTAGACCATGTTCATTTGTTTCCTTTGGGAAATTCAACATTTTCTCCACTGAGCATGCTTTTCTTATTCTTTTATGTATGTGCAGTTTAAATAGCTGAAACTAAATCCATGGATTACATGGATCGATCAAAAGACCATCCTTAAATGAATAGCAAAAGAGATCTTTTTTATCATCTAAATGTTTCTAGAGGTAGCTTTCCTGATTCGCATATGACTGTTATAATTAGCATCATAGCTATTCCAAGCAGTCTGTGTCTTCCTCTAAGTTATATTTTATGGCAACATTAAGCTTTCAGCTGGCGATAACAGTGCTTAAATAAAAACAAACATTATCTATCGGGTATCCAAATAACTTATTCCAACTTCACTGTAAATATTTTACAGAGGAGAATTTCCTGAAGAAGGCTATTTCCAAACATGTAGTAACACACTTATCAAGTTCATTGCGGTTCCAAAACTTCCCATCTGCATAAATTCTGAAAATTCAGCATAAGGACATTTTATCACAGAGTAAATAAATATGTTTCGTAGTGCAACATGCCATTTCTAACCTTTGCAAATCAGGAAAAACTTGGTCACATTCCTTACACTCCTGGATTGTGTGTATCTCTCGGAGATCATTTTCACTTTCAAGTTTTTGTTGAAAGTCCTCTTCCACCATTGAAAAGGCTGAGTGGGGGGTACTGCACGGGAACTTCTGGTGATCCGCTAGCTCAGCCTTGGACTCAAAGAGCTGGTCACAGTCCTCACAGCGATATTGCCGTTCTTCTGTGAATATAATTCCAGTGTCAATAAAATTGGGAGATCAGGACGTGCCACCACAACCCAGCAGGTATTATCGACTTAGGAAAGACATTGTAAAAATTACTTGATTTTCATTTCTACCACTTCAATTTTAATGTAGAGTAGACATAACAAGAAAGACAGGACAGAGCCCAGAACAATAAGTGATTACTGTGGCTATAAGTATAGACTTCCTATCAGATAAAACCCTTCCAGGATTTAATATTCATGGGATATTAAAAGTAGCAATGGCCACTTACTGCACATCATTTATTTCCTCAGTCTCATACATGGATTACTGATATTCCTGAAAACCTGACTGTAGGGAATCATATGTCATATTTTAATTCCAATTTTTAGATGAGAGTATTGATGCTCAGAGAAGTTTAGTAACCAATCAGGGATTCTACAGCTAGGTGGTTGTGCCAGGATTGGAACCCATCACTGTTCCACACACTTCCCACTGTGCCATGCATCCTGAAGGGTGCTTGAGACACACAGTCTCCATTTGAGCCACGTTTAATGAAGCCTGGTTAATATCAGCAAACTTGAAATCTTTCATCACATTCACCATGACATATAATGGGACACAGGATGTTTGTAGGATTCTTTTAGGCTCATTTAATGTTACCCCAGGGTCAGTGTCCATTGGCGTGGCTTTGTTAAATAGCAAACCTAACATGAATTTGCACTTTAAATCAGCGAGATAAATAAAGGGTAGTAATGGGGACTGGCAACAACAAGGTTAAAAGTGTCAGGGGGTGAGGGTATTATTTCTATTCTTTCCACTTGAATAGCATTTAGTCCACTCATGAGGTTATACAACTAGACCCAGATCACCAGACACTACCCCAGAAGTCTTGGAAATTGGTCCCAATGCTGAAAGGCACCCGGAGCAACAGCAGGAGACACAATCCCTGGCTTATAGACCTACAGTCAGGATCCGGAGCCAGTTGTTCATTGACTGAATGTTTTTGAGGGAACAATTCAGTCGCCAACGGAATGCTAGGCATTTTGCTAGAGAATTAATATGCAAGAAACTCAAGGGGACACACACGTGGACAGAGTGTGATATATTTTATGAGAGGTGCATGCATGGGGCTAAGGGAGTTCAGAGGAACGGGACAAATCCATTTATCTGAGGGAGAGTTTCAGAAAATGAAATAAGCAAGAATCAGTCAGGTGACTTGGGATGAGGGTGGGCACTACAGGCAGCGGAAACAACATGGACCAACGATGAAGGCAAGAAAGAGCATGGCGGGCTCCCGGAAGGCCAAGCTACAGAGAAGCACAGCAGTTTTAGAGAGCTCGTGTTGGGGAGGAGTGGGAAATGGAGCTAGAGAGGGTAGCAGGTCACCGCGGGCTTTTTAGGTCCCTGCTAGGAAGGGAAGAGAAAGCCATGGAAGGTGGAAAGCCCACAGAAATGGAAACGTGAGAAGCTAAGCCAGCGGTTCTCAACCTGTGGGTCGCGACCCCTTTGGCGGTCGAACGACCCTTTCACAGGGGTCGCCTAAGACCATCCTGCATATCAGACATTTACATGACGATTCATAACAGTAGCAGCATTACAGTTATGAAGTAGCAACGAAAATAATTTTATGGTTGGGTCACAACATGAGGAACTGTATTTAAAGGGCCAGAAGGTTGAGAACCACTGAAGCAGACAGGTCTGCTGTAATCTACATAGAGTACTGGTTTAGTTTAAACTAAACAGTAACAGGGGATCAGGAAGGTAAAGAAAGTAGGATATAGATGATTAAGGAAGAAGGAGGCATTCTAAAATAAATCACCTCAGCTCTAAAGACAGGTCTCTCAATGAGATTAACTAGCTAATGAAAACATTTCCTATTGTCTGTTACACTATCCACATATTTAAGATCTACATTTAGAAACAGCCAGCAGTCTGAACACAAACAGAACCGTCAAGCTACATAATAAATGGAAAAGGCCTAGGTTTTAAAGACAGCCAGACCTTCTTTTGAATGCTGACGCTACCACTTTCTAGCCATGTGGTCTTTGCCACTGTAGCCTCAGTCTTCCTATCTGTATAATGGAAATAATTCCTTTCCTACAGGTTTGATCTATGTGTAAAGATTAAATGAGATAATAAATGGAAAGCATATAATAGCTAGCGCATAATATGTGTACAACGCAAATGTTTTATTTTCTCTTTCCTAAGAAACATTAAATCCTAGAAGTACAAAATACAAATCACCATTTAAACATCACATATACTATATATGGTATATGATACTTTGAAAACAAAAGGCAACTGATGGGTTCAAAGGTATTGTAAAGGAAGGTAATGTATGAAAGGCAGTCCAGAAAGAACAGTCGCTTCTCTTTAGGCCTTTTAGAATAGTAAACTAATCATTTACGTTTCCAAAAATAATTGTTTGAAAACCTTTTTTAAATCTAACATTCACCAATGAAAGATGTCTTGTCCCAAACAAAGCCCACATTACTTTTACCATCTAAGCACTTCCTGCTGTCCCGGCGCCCTTTCCCATCGCACTCAAACTCTACCAGGCTCACTGACAACGCGTTTGTGTGTTTTTTAAACCACTTGCTTGTCAGAGTTTCTAAGAAGAACACAATTTCCAAAAGGCTCCCCCAAATACAACTGGTATAATCTACAAAGAGGTGGAATGCAGCTCAGCCAAAGGGAAAATGTTCAAGTAAAGAGGCAGCAAAGAGTGGGGGGGGTCCTCCCAAGGAGCCCCAGAAGCAGAGGCTGAGATCCTCCCGGGATGCAATGCAGGAGGGGTGGGAGTGGCAGGATCTCCATCCTCAGCAAAGCTGGATGGCTTACCCCTTCCCAGTGATCCTTCCAACCACAAAAGACTCTCTAAAGACACCACTGAGATTCGGTGGAACTAAATCACATTCTATTAGGAGAGAGAACTAGGAAAGAGAAAGTATCAAATTATCATCCCAATGATACAAAGCAATACCAGAAGAATTTTTTCCTAATCTTCTCAAAACATACAACATTAGTAATTGTAATTCATTTTGATACCCCTTCCTTTGATTTAGCATAGGTCTCTGGCAAACACAAATTCCTCTGGTTCTAAAATTTCCTCACTGCACTTCTCTCCCAAACCCGACACCACCCCTACCCTCTCCCCTGTGATCATGCTGGCTAGCATTTTGCTCAAGTGCAAACACTTTTCCCAGTAATAGAATATTAGATGGGAGAAACATCCCCTAGATTTACAAAGCTCAAAAGAAACCGCCCCAGAATGACTTTTGTGCAATGAAAGGACACTCACCGTTGTAGGAGACATTGGCAAAAGATTTAACTATGTGATGTCCCAGTCTAAATATTCAAAATTCACCCGGCCTGCGTGGCTCAGTGGTTGAGCATCGACCTATGAACCAGGAGGTCACGGTTCCATTCCCAGTCAGGGCACATGCCTGGATTGCGGGCTCGATCCCCAGTAGGGGATGTGCAGGAGGCAACAGATCAATGATTCCCTCTCATCATTGATGTTTCTCTCTCTTTCTTCCTCTCCCTTCCTCTCTAACATCAGTAAAAATATATTTTAAAAAAAGAAAAATAAATAAGTAAATATTCAAAATTCCCTTTGACCTCCATTTCAGGAAACATTTCTGCCTACTTTAGTTTCACAGTAATATTACCCAGACAGCAAATCAAGAAACTACTGGGGATGTGCCCGCAACTAAGGTACATGCCCTTGACTGGAATCAAACCTGGGACCCTTCAGTCTGCAGGCCGATGCTCTATCCACTGAGCCAAACCAGTTAGGGCGAGAAGGAATATGTTAACACTGACACTGAATAGCCAGGAAAACCAATGAACACCAAGTAGGATGGACCCTTTTGGACACTCCGTCAGTCTCCCAGTGAGGTCAGTGCAGATGGGGGCCTGGGCCACACTCACCGTGGATGTCCGGCGCCATAGTTTCATGGGGATAGTCTTCACTCTTCATGAACAGCAGGAGCTCCTCTCCCGGCGCGATGTCTGCGACTACTCTATAAAATATCTTCATGGGACCGCAAAGGGTGGGGTGGGAAGAAAGAATACTAAGAAAAGGCCAGATAGACACTAAGATGTCTGTACATTTTCTCATTCCTTAACAAAAATATTCATTTCATGATTTTGTAAAAAGACATGTGACTTCCCATGTTATAAACTGAAAATGAACCCTCCAGTGATAAATGGCAAGCTGTGACTTCCAAGCGAATTCACTAATCTTTTTCAAATCCGACTTCACAAATCAAATTTTCTTTATGCAAGTCTTGGTGTCACATATACCCTGTATAATGTTTAACACAGAACTTTTCCTTCTCTGAATTCCTCACTCTAGTGAACCACACACATACTCAGAGTTGAAAGCACCTTGCATTAGCCAGCAATAGTCTAGCTAAGGGTGGCGAGGGGCACAATCACCTCCTTTGAGTATGTTCTCCCGCAAAAGTAGCACCTTCTCAACAAGGGATGTTTAAGGTAATAGTTCAGAAAGACAGGCATGACATAAAGAATGATGACAGCAAGATCTGTAGAAAACATGGTCAAAGGAGAGCATTTTGTTTTTCAAAATGGAATCCCCCTCTCACCCATCAGGACCTGCCCTCCTGCCCTTGCTCCCGATCCCACTCTTTAAAAGCAGGCATTATGCCTTCAATTGGTTCATTTACAGGGGCTTATTCCCCCTTACTTTCTGGCAAAATGTTGAGGAGAGGAAGGATTTAATAAATCCGTTAATGACTAACTAAAATGCAGTGGGGCCAGTGTGAAAAGAACCCTGACCTATAATTTCTAAGGGATGTCCACCTTTCCCCTAACCAGCTCTGTGACCTTAGACAAGTCATTTGAACAATGTATTTGTCCTGACTTCAGGATTTTTTTCATTTACGAAAGCATTTAATTTGTGAAATATACAAACATAGAATCATTATGTTACACAGTTAAATCTAATATAATGTTATATATTATATCTCAGTTAAAAAAGCAATTAATTGGGATAATATCCAAGGTACTTATTCATTTTGCCATTAAAATGTTTATTCTAAGATTATTTATTAAACAACAATTCCGTAACTGGGTAGAGGCCATAGAAGAAAGAATGAAGTTATACATTTAACTGGTAAAAATGAGACCGATGACTCTCTCTCTCTCTCTCTCTCTCTCACACACACACACACACACACACACACACACCAAAAGCAATAGTGATAACAAAGAAATAAGGGTTCAAATCTGCTCAACCTCGATCCAAAAGGGGAGAAAAATCACAACACAAATTGGTACGCTCTTCGAAGAAATGGGAAGGATTATATTTAGAAGACATCGCTCTAACTATGGTTTCTTGCAGGATCATTTGATACTTCAAACTGAGAAGAGTATATAAGATCAACAGAAATGTGCGTCACTTTAGCTATATTTATTTGTTTATCTTTTGAGAAGCAGAGGACATTAGGCATCAGTACGTGCCTCTTCATTCCAGTAGGTGGCTCTAAAGGCCAATTGTTTATTTTTCTATTAAAGAGACCAGAGCACAAAATTGTGCTAAATTCAAAAAAGAATAACTCCATGAGGAGTATTTTCTGCTTAGCTTCTTTCCTGTTGAAATAAAATGTTTTCTTCATTCACCAGTAATTTAACCATGTGAAGCTAATTTATATAGAAAATAATGGCAAACATAAAATGTTGCATAATATGTTCGAATATAACCTAAGATTCTTTATATATATATCCATAGACAGAATCCAGACTATCTTAGGAGAATTACCTGTGCTCTTTCTAAAAACAAAACAAAACAAAAAACAGAGAATTTACAATCTATAGCTTATTAAACTTAATTAACCTTCCTAAGAAGAAAGAAAATGAGAACAGTTCTGCTCAGAAAGTTACCAGATTAAAAAACAAAACAAAACAAAAAACATTAGTGTGCATTTGCTTTTTCTCCAAAACCTCCCAGCTTACAAGTACCCTGTTCAACCTGGAGTTCTATTTCCCCTTAGAAAACAATGGGCTTCTCTCAACAGTTTGAATCACCTCTTTTTTGGCATCTCTCAAAGGTTTAACTTATTAGCTTCCTTTCCAACAACATGTTGACATTTGAATTGTGACATATTAGAACTTTTCAGTGGCTTCTCGGAAATAGTGAGGTTAAAGAGACAATACCCTGCAAGACCGTAAAACAGGGCAGTTGTCTCTGTTGGGGAATGCTGCTTCGACACACATGCCAGGTCATTTTAAGAAACTATTATGATATCATTATTTCTTTGTAGTCCACTATTAATCATGTCTCTTTTAATTCCATTTTAGATTTACTGGTTCCAATGTGAACAGTTCAAGAAACAAAAAAAAAATGATGGATACATTATAACTATATATTATAAAGACAATTCTCTTTGTGGGGACATAGATCACTATTGTAATTTCCCTTTAAGTGTCCAGATTGTCACGTGAGGAATATTGAGTACATAAAAAAAAATAAAAGACACGGAAGAGTGTTGATGTTGGCTTTATTTACTGGAGGTAAAAGGTGACATTCCAGGCCATGAAAGGCAAGGCAAAGCAGAGTGGGTTTTAACTTCAGGGTGTTCTTTTCGATTTTAAGTGAATTTTTATGGTGCTCATGAAACTGAGGTTTGAAAAGAACTGGCAAGCTCCAGACGTAATGAGGGCAAATTCTGGGCATGCTTCCTCACATAGCAATAAGAATGTGCCTCGAAGTCCCATCTACCACACCCTCACAAATCTAGGGCTCTGTTTTCTTCAAGGTGTTGCTACCACTTGATATTTTCATTATATCTTATCTCTGAGGATCTTACAGAGACTTAAGTAACATTATGTTTTCCTCCTATAATTACAATGGCCCAAGCTTATAATTTGAATACTTGAATGCAGAGATGTCTACATATAAAGTTAGTTTACGTTTTAGCAAAAATAATACACCAGCAGGCACTTGAGAAGTGAGGGGTGTAGGTTGAAAGGAAACAGAATGACAATTTGTTGCCTCAAAACAATTATGTGAGGGAATGATGGGATGCAATCTTGGAGAAATCAAGCCATTCAGAAAAGAAGATATCACCTTTATGCTTTAATGTTATAAAATAGGTGTTCCGGCAAATAAAAATATAATGCAGAGCAGAAGTGGATTATGTGGCTTTTTCTGCAGGTTTGTATATTAAGTACATGCTTGACCATGTTTATAAAAATAAAATTATAATGTCTTTAAAATTACTGTAGCTTCAAAATCGCAGCTATACTGCAGTCCTATGAATTATATGTCACCTGACTTATGTATCAGAAGCAGAGACACTACTAATATAACCTCTTGGTTTTTGTGTTAGAGCAAAATGGAAGAAAATCAATCACTCTGTTAAATTCCATAGAAGAGTTAACAGGTCTCCTCTTCCATCAGGGGGTTTTATGGAAAAAGTTATTTGGATCCAAAATAAAAATGTCCTGGATCTGGGATTTTGTGATGAATTCAACTCAAGTATATAAAGAGAGGCTCAAAAGTCTCAAAGACTTGGAAAGAGTTTGGATTGTTACAAACGAGTTGTTGATTCATTATTTTGCTGTGTCGCTCTCATAATGCTCTATTAGAAGGAATATCTTAATCTCTCCCAATATAAGGTGAAAGATAAGAGGAGTGGGGCCTTATAGTAAGATAACAGGATTATACAGAAATTACACTTTGTAAAGACATGATAAAATATTTTAAATATTGTTAAATATGATAAAATATTTTGACTCCTCTAGAGTTTTCTTTTTGGTAACTAATATTAAATTCCAGAAACACAATAAGTTATAAACATGGCTTACCTCTCCATGCATTTAAAACTTTTGAAAGTTGAGGTGGTCATTTTACCACAGGAAAAAAATTAATTTTGCCAGTATCTTCCTAGGTTCTTTTTATTTTTTCCAGAAAGTTATAATTCTATTTTTAAAGTAAGGATATTATAGCTGCATCTCTGGATACTTGAATCGATAAGAATAAATATTTATAGTAAATGTTTTAGTAGATCCTCTTATATTATTTTATTTTCAAATTTTGCTAAAATAGCATATGAGTAAAATTGCTTAGTATTCTTTAAATTCTAAATCATTCAGATACTTGAAAAATAAAACTAGAAATATCCTAAATTGTTCACTTTTACTACTGAAAATTCACAATTTAAGGCATCAAGATAAAATTGTGTAAATAGGAATTACTCTAAATATAATTATTGTATTTAATTTATTTCAATCAAAATTTGAAACCAGTTCCAAATGCCAAAAGAATATCAATTCACTTAATATTCATAAAGCTAAGCTAGGGATAAAAAGCAGTGGTGAAGAGATTTTGATTTAGCAAACTTTCACTCTTCCAAAGGTATAGTTTCATACAATGTTATATATAAGTATATATGGGCTAGGATATTTCATAAATGACATATAAATGTGGCAAAGTACACATGTTGGGGGAATTTAAAAATCTGCATAAAATATTGGCAGTCTCATATTTCATATATTAATATAATTTAGTGCTTAATGGCATATAATTGATTCTGATTATATATCATATAAGTTATATATAACTATATATTACATTATATATTGTATATAATTACATATTTTATATATAGTTGAAATTTGAATTAAACATTTTATTGAATATCCATTTAAATTCAAGAGGATAGCCTCTAAAGAGAGTAGGAATACATAAGCTTTCTGATAGAAAAGTTAATAGGCTATAAAAGTCCTTCAGATTCTGCTTTATACTGTCAGGCCTGTGCTCAACCTAATCCTCCACCAGATTGATGATGCTCCCATTTGTATTTATAAATGGTAATAATGTGGGTTCTTGTTTATTATCCCATAACATAGAGGAATCTAGAATCTGTCAGACCAGACTTGCTGTCTAGTTTGCTATGCTTGGATCGATTTAAAGTATTATGTTTGTCCTATTGAAACCGAAGAAAAATTCAGGGCACAAGAGGCAAAACAAGAAAGAAAGAAAGCACATCATTTAGTTTTAAAAAGATG